AATTAGCCATATTTTGAGTTTGATTTTGAATCTCTTCTCCTTACTTGTACCGTCTGTACGCGTGGTCTTTCGATATAACGACAAGGACGATTTGAGATGACAGACAATGAATGCCAATTCTCCAGTTCAATGCAACGTGTCTATACTCGTTCCAGGCGTTCGTTTTGGACCACCAAGGTCTTCCAGACGAAAAACGGAAACACCTTAGGCAGTTACGTAACGAAATCAACCAGAGACGGGAGGCAATGGACAGGATCTCTGAAGAGGTGACGAATAACAATGATATTAAAAAAAAATACTACATAAGAGGTAGCGCACCGAAACTGAGGCACTCAAATTACACCAATTGGTGTAACTGTGCGACTCTATAGACTGCTATCGCTTTCTGTATCATAGGCGGAACAATTTTTAAACGTCACGCAGTGTAGAGATACGTCATCTATTTATCTTTAGTGGCTCGTGGGCGTCCTAAAAAGATTCACGGCCACATTTGAAGGCCAGCAACATAGCTGCAACCACTTTACTGCAACCTCTTTATTGTCATGAGCAGTGACGACCACTTACCATTGAGGTCTTAGGTCATCAAGGAGAGATCCTTGATGACTCCGTCGCGCAGTTATCAAGGCATTGGTTTCGACGCCGGGGTCGTGAGTTCGATTCCCACACGAAACAACTATTTCTGTGACCCACAGATAATTGTTTCTGATCGGGCGTTTGTCCATGTGAAATTTATATTTGTAAAACGTACTTGCAAAACATGATAATGTTATCGTGCAGTAAGGGAACAATGTTTTCGTAGGAAAGTCTACAATAGATCATCTCACGGCCGGATTCTAAAACACTGGTCATCGTATATGTCAACTAATCATCTGTCATATGGCTTTTCAAATGTCATTTGAGTGGCCAAAAGGATGATTAAACTCTCTGAATTGACCGGAATGATCTTCTATTTCTATTTTATTTATTTCTATTTTTTTAGAAAAACATTGCCCTCACTTTAGGATAACTGTGTTGTAAGGACGTTTTACAAACATAAACTGCACGAGAATAAACACCCAGTTGCGAAACAACTATCAGTGGGTCGCAAAAATAGTTGTCCAGTGTGGCAATCGAACCCACGACCCCCGACGCCGGAGCCAATACATTGGCAACTGTGCCACGGAGTCATCTTAATGATCAGAATGATCAATTCAAAGAGTTTAACCATTCTTTTGGCCCCTCAAATGATATTTGAAAATCCATATGACAGCTGATTAGTTTACATCTACGATGATCAGTGTTTCAGAAACCGGGCGTAAGTCGCAGTGGTCGTAGTGACATCTGCGTTAGTTGCTGTTGCATTGTGTTCGTCTGCGATCGCTTAAAAAATTCGCCTTCGCAGACAGATCCCGTAATACTGACGGGGCTTCTTTTCGAGTGGTTGGAAGGTCTGAAGGAGCCGATTCTCACGCGGGCGGACCTCCCGATTATAGTGGGACGAGCACTCAACACGGAGTACTGCATACTCGCGTTGCAGATGGTAAGAAACTTAATAGGTAGATTGATGAATGCCTAATAGATGGTAGGTTGGAACCTAAACTTTTAACGGCCTTTTAGCATTTTTCTTCTGAAGGGCGCCTAAGGCAGTGCTTATTGTTATGCTTGGTTCCCTCTGCACGCAGCAACGGATTTGTAATATAGATAGAAAGTCCTTTTGCCGTTTTAAAACGTTGGCCACTTTTTATTGTGTAAATTGAACTTTCTTAAATAACTCGTGGTGAGACCCACGAGAGTGAATGTGATTAGGAAAGGCGTGTAACATTTGTTTTGGGAAGCGAATATTGCCGAGGTTTTTGCTGGTAAAAAAAGCATATTGTACAACACATTGGTGAAGTGCCTCAATATGTATTATATAGATATGCACGAATGTTAGGCAAGCACTACTTCCTAATTCCATTTGCTTAGATTCTTTAATTCTTACATACGGTTGATAGCCTACGATCTTAAGATGGTGAAGAGCTAAAGTCGCATTATATGATATACAAAATCAATATCACACTTTATACCCTATATAGGACATGAGGGTTCATTCACATCCGGAGTAGAATTTGCTACATCTGTCAATCTGTTTATTATCAGTCAGACTATTCTTTATTTAAACATTATTACAACACAAGAATCTGCAATTTATCAACTCGCGCTAATGAAGTATTATTTTATCCCCAAAATTCCCATACTCAAATACATATATCCGTGAAAATTTTATTCCAGGAAACCATCCTCCTTCTAGAATACCTACTACGCTTCGTGATTCGACTCCGGCCGCTAGCAGCGGCCAAGAAGGTGTATATAATAAGAAGGCTGATCGCCTCCTTGACGCATCAGGGCGTGATAGTGAACGGAACTTACCTTCCCGCGGGCAGGGACTTCCCCAAGCTCGGCGATGGGACCTGCAGCCAATTAATTAACTTCATGCTGCGAATGATAGTCGAAGTGCAGAAAGACATGATGAAGCCCGACAAAGACGAGACTGACGTCGTCATTCCGCCTAGAAGACTCAGAATAAAAGCTTGGAAATGATTTTATGAGTTTGTGAATATTATTATCTTTCCTTTTCTTAGTCATCTGTATATCGGAATCATCGCTCATCACCGTTTTAAAATATATAATATATAATAAAATCAACGAGTTATTGCCAGTGCATAAATGTATTTTTGTACTTTTTAAATCTCTACTCGGTAATATGCTGCATTGTGAATATATTCAGTGAAACAAAGTTATATAGAAAATTCGTTGGACAATGAAACTCTAATAAAGAAAAATTAGAAAAAAAACCTGATCCTTAAGAAGATCATTGATCAACAAAGATCAACTTTTTCATCAATTCAGAGAGTTTAACCATCCTTTTGGCAACTTAAATAACATTTGAAAAGCCATTTGACAGCTGATTAGTTAACTTCTACGATAATCAGTGTTTCAGAAACCGAGCGAAGTTTTTTTTATGTGAGAAGGTGGCAATCGAGCTGGCCGATCACCTGATGTTAAGTGACGTGACGACTTTCGTAAAATTGCTGGCAGCAACTGTATTCTAAGGGCGAGATCAAGTCATTGGCATTTACAAGGAGAGGCCTATGTCCAGTAGTGAATAAACCATGGTAGGTTCATAATTTAATTATCGAACGAAGGAAGGAAGGCGTTAAGGTTTTCGTCGCTGTGGCTATCAGCCGCTTAGCTCAGTGGCTAGAGCGTCAGGCCGCGAATGCCGAAGACGTGGGTTCGATTCCCGCAGCGGCGACAATCTTTTCGTACTTTTTCTACGTGTTTTAATGGACTTTTTTATTTAGAACTGGCCAGCACTTGACTGCCATCATGACTTGTTTCTGTTCCCAAAAACTAAGAACCAATTATGCATGCGGTCAACGATTTTCATCACCAGAAGAGACTGTGGAAGAGTATGAAAAACACGTTTAGGAGATCACCGCGGAGGAGTGGCACACATGTTTTGATAGTTGGTTTAATCGTATGAAAAAGTGCTATTGCGCAAAAAGAGAATATTTTGAGAATAAATAAATTAATTTTTGAACATTAGTAGTATTTTTTTCTAATTCTTTCCGGAAACTTTTAGTGCGCCCCACGTATCAATAGGCATTTTTAAATTATTTAATAAAAGGTTTCCTTTCATTTTGTGTAATTTATACACAATCAAAATGATTGAATTGAAAAAATTTAATGGGATATGGCTTGCTAAAATCATAGCAGTCGGCGGTCGACAACATTAGACCATATATTGAAAGACTTGCAACGTATTCAAGTTCCACTCGGTGTAGTTATACACTGATAACTTGTGGCAAAAACTTTTAGTGATATCTCACTCAACACCAGCTGAGGAATTGCAAATCTGCTCGGGATAATCAACTTTTTTCAGAACTATGCACATTATGTAGTACTAGCGAAACGGAACAGATGTCCTGTACACACGACTTAAATCCGACAACATATAAATAAAAAAAAAAATGTGAACCCAAACCATTCTCGAATGACCTGAACACACAAAAAATTTCATTAAAATCTGTCAAAACTGTCTTCAATAGCAGCCATATTTTAAGCAATCATTTAGATTTTTCTGTTAATGGCACAGCACCAGAAACAAGAAACAACAAAAATCCGCTTTCCGTCTGATTTTTGTACCATCATAAATTCAAACCTAATACCTTTTGTATACAGGAGGCCTTTGCTCAGTAGTGGGATATATTTAGGCTATTTAATTTACTATATAAATTCAAAAGAATGATACCAAAGTTATCTAGGGTATACAAAAGCGGAAAGCGTGGGAGCAAATGACCTAAACCTGCTAGGTTGAGCTAAAATATCTATGTACACGATTTGAACAAAATTATTCTAAACGAAATTGGAGGTGAAATGGAAAAGTCAATTGACTCAATGTGAAATCACTTACTTAAATTAATCACACTACAATACACACATTAATTACACAACTTAAATAAATCAACGTGAAGTATGAATAATGATTTTTAACAGAATTTTTCAATTTACTTGATGTGTCCGGATTACCATCACGAGTTCTAATTTTTAAAATTGAAGTGTCAGTTAACTTTTTAAATTCAACTATACTTCATAATGTGGCTTATATTACGCAGTACAGATACGTAGTTAAAGTAGGAACAAGATAAGTATAAGAAATTAATTTAAGAAAGAATTTTGATTGGACCTGAGAAGACTTCCATCTAGGAGTTCCACCTCTCATTCTGACAAGGTATGATGTTCGAGCTTAAAATTCAAAATAAAAATCATGTCATTGATTAGGTAAGTTGTTGAATGTATCCGAATAGTCACGCAATGACTTATTTTTGTTTTAATGTAAATTATTTTTTTATCTGTGTTTATTGCACCCGTGTCACAATTGTGCGCTTACACGTTGCCATATCACCTGTATTTACGCCGAAATCCTATCAGATTTCTGTCTAATATTGTTTTTGTAATATATCCAGCTTTGTAGGAAAATGTCGTCTACTGAAGAAACTGCTCAACTAAAAGCAGGTCACCCGCCAGCAGGTACTCCTTTTTACTTTGTTTACAACTTGCAATAAATTTAAACATCAAATCTTTTTAAAAAAGTAGTTTTAGATAGCATTTAAGGATGTTTACCGATATAAACAAATAGTTACACTATTTTCATATTACGTTACAAATATCTTTCGGAATGTTATTTATCTGTAAATGACATCATTATTTTGTTTCAATTACGTGACCACAATGTTTTTAAACAAAGGATACTTTCAAGGTCATGAGGAGATCGGCTACAGTTATTTACTATAAAATAACAAACTTATTTTTGTCCATAATCCACATTATATTCTTCTTCTTACTTTGTTCTTTTTCGAAAAGCACTACTATTCACTTACTAACTTCATTATCCTAATGAAGTAAGAAGTACTTCACTAAGTAGACATAATTGATTAATTGAATCAAATTTTGGTATAATCAGTAAAGATACAAATGTTGTTAGCCTTTTCTAATAAATAGCAAATAACCACACTCATTACCACATTTCCCTAAAATACAGTGCTTGTAATTTAAATTCATGTATTTGGATACTTTGACTTGTCTGAACTATTTGAATAAGTATCCAAATGTCAATTTCTTTAGTAGATGAAATGTAAACTTTTTGGCCAAAAATTGCTTAAATAGGAAAACTGTGATTTACTTATACTAATTAAGGTTAAAAATAATTTGTGCAGTTAAAGCTGGTGGTATGAGGATTACTCAGAACAAGATTACACATTCCAAAGATCCTAAAGAGACAGCAAATGAAGATCTAACTGGACTATCAGGCCCTTCTCCTGTTCCCACCAACCCAGTGACCATTTCTGGTGCACCAAACAGAGGAAATGCTGATTTCACCCCAGAAGCAGCACAGATAGCCCATAGTCCAAAACCGCCAGCACATATTAATATTAAGCCCAGTCTGCATATTCAGCAACCTCGGAAATAGATTACAAATGAAAATAGGCATATCAACATCCAAATAATATAAGGTGTTATTCAAATATTTCATTTCTGGTAAAAGTATTAATTAATATTTGTCACTACTTATATTTTGGAATGGTAAAATTATTTCCCAGGTTTTTTTTTGTTTTAATGGTTTAACATCTGTGTAAATACAAAATATACTCTAAGCCAGTGTATTGTACCCACTTTTCTGTTTACTAAGTAAGTGATGTAAAGAAAGGTAAGTCATTTTAAAGTCTGATGCAAGTGAAATCTATTAAGAATTTTACAAACACCTTATATTTTGCCTATTGAAGCCTTAATAACAAAAGCATAGTTCTTTTGAGTATTAGAACACTAAAAAAATAGTTTTTCCACTCAAGTCCGGTCAAACATACCAACCTTATCTAATTATCAGTAGTAAACAAAGATTGTCATGGCAAACAATTATCTGATGTCATAGAAAACAGAAAAAATTTTAAGAATATTTATACACAATGATTTTTTCGTCCTAACTTCTATTGTATGTCTATGTATCTATAGTATATGTTATGTACTGTGAATAGTTGACAAAAATTACAGAACCCTTATTATAACAAAATTTTATTTAATTATAAGAAAAAGTGTAAATTGGCAAAAGAAACAATATTGAAAAACTTGAAATAGCAGTATGTTCATGTTCAAGTATTTTAATATTTATGCCTTAAATATTATTATTAATTTAATTCCCTTGCCTATGTACTGTTGGCGCTTTTAAAGATTTTTTCAGGAAGTTGGTGCTCCGATAGCATGCATTTTGTTTTATTACATTCCTCAATTTATTTTGCTGTCTTCGAAGAAATTATATTTTTCTCTTTGGTCAATAGTTTGGGACCATGAATTTATAGTTTTTCTTTCTGTTTGTCTTTTGATTTTTTTAAATAAAATTTAAAAACAAGAATTGATGTATTATTTGCATTATGTTTAATCTTTGGTTCAGCTATTACACCAGATTTATTAACCTTTGCATATTTATTTCCTTTCCCACTGAGTGATCCAAACTTTACTTCAGAATTTGGAGACGTTTTTTGAAATTTATTGAAAGTGCCTTCTACAAATCCACAAATTACAACGAAACTAAGATATAAAATGAGAAAGAGTTTTATACAACACATAATATTCTATTTTTTATCTTATTGTGAACAGTTTACAATAGCAAAATGTAAACTTTAATTAAGGAGTCAAGTAATACTTCTCTCTTTCTCTTGTATGTACCCCATGATCATTTAGGATATTATCCTTATAGGTAATCCCCTATGATTATTAAATCCACCAAAGATAGGTTTAATAATCATAGGGGATGGTAAGGTTTAATAAGATTCATTATTGAAGCGAAGTACATAGTAATAGTTTTTGTTTAGCATGTAATGATTAAGTTTATTTTATAATACTCTTATGACTTTGAAGGTATAGTAACTATATAATCGGAAATGTAAAAACGGAAATATTCAAATTGTAATAAATGTCAACATTTTTCTATCAACATATACAAAGTCAAATATTACAATAGAATGTGAATATCATTATTTATTAATAAACATTAATATATCAATAACAACTATTATTGTAGCTAGTGAAGACAAAATCACTCGTAAATTGAAAAAAATATACAGTTTTAACCTGGCAGGTGATTATTTTTAAATAAAACTAAATTAACATAGCAGTTTTTTCTGTGGATTAAAGTTAAGACCTTGTAAAGCGATGAGCGAGGAAATAGATGTTTTATTACACAACACCAAAAAAGTAATTATCTTATGAGCTCCAACGGGCCAGTTGAATCTATTACATTAATTTTTTTTTTCGCCGGTCAGCCTCCGCCCCCTTGAAAGCGAAGTTGTATATATCTAAAAAATTATTTAATTTATATTATTATAGAATACCATAAATAAAAATTTAAGGTAATTTATGTTAAAATTATTTACCTCTTGTTCGGACTCCATGCGTTGATTAGACGTGGACTGGGAGGGGGAATATGACAGCGATACTACCGTGTCCGCAGTTCTAACATCTACGACAAAAAGACAAACTATTAAACGGGCAAATAAAATAAACGGTGTATCTAATATTTTAATAATACAAATTTAGTCTCTGCATTTAGGAGGAATTTTAAAAAGTGTATCTAAAACCGTCGGTCGTTTATTTTTACGCAGCTAGGATTCCAGGAAAAAAAAGAAATAAAATAATGAAAACAGTTTTATATACGCATTTTAAACATACAACATAACACCAAACGTGACGGGTAAGTATGTCGCCTTACAGGAAATATAAAAAACTTCACAAAACTTTGCATATGTCAGAGGTTTGAATCTGCGACTTTGTATCGGAAATCAGACGTCGCGGCCACTTGGTCTACAACTCTGCTAGAGAATTGTCTTATTGAAAAAAATTACTAATCTTTTAGAAATGCACGTGAACTCACCATCTTTGCTAGCCTTCAGTTTCTCCGGCTGCAAAATAAATGCAGGAGATATCAATACTATATTAATAGTCAAACCCAAATGTGGAAATCCACATTTCTGTAATATTTTATATGCTTTTTTATATTACAACTTTTTTATAAATTTATTTCCTCAGTAAAACTCGTTTTTGGGAATAAATTCAATTCGCAATGTTACAAACACTTTTTTTTTACAAAATAAAATTATGTTATGTCTCTTTCAGATTTAACATAATTGTAATGTTAATTACAATCCTAAAAAAACTCCGAATCAGTAATAAACAGATGTGGTTTAAATCAGTTATGTGTAATGAAAGTATTATAATATGTTGATATTTTTATTTTCAATATCGTGGCTAAGCCAATGGCTTCTGCACCGCGGGTCGTGGGTTCGATTCGCACACGGGTTAAGTATTTGTGTGACCCACAGATAATTGTTCCGACTCGAGTGTTTGTTCCCTAAAACCTAGCTCATACTATTGACAACATTATTCTCATGTTGTTCCGACCCCACCTAGGTGGGGTGGGATGAGGGCAGGAAAAAGATATTGTGGTTGCTTTGAATGAGCACTGAGCCGGTATTATTTTAGACGCACCAAAAATTACCTGATAATGAAGAGTAAACTAATCTTATAACAGGTTTAAGTATTAACTCACCAAATCATCCATACTAGGTTTGTAGTACTTAGGATTCAGGTCTCTTTCACTCCCAGGCACCATTGCTGTCAGTACGATGGAGCCATTTAAATTTTCTCTTACATTTTATAACCCCTTTATGGGCATGTTCTCAACGAGTGGATTGTGTGTCGTATTTACATATACGAGGATCAAGTAAAATAGATATACTGTAAAGATGTTCTAATGCTTCTGTTATTCATATATCTTATATGTTATGTATATATCTTCTAAGACATACCCTCTGTACAGAGAAGGCATTTGCCTAGCAGTGGCACAAATAGGCTGTTACTTAACCTTTCTTAACACACAACCAACCGAAGACAGTGCCAAATTGCGTATCTTCCATGCATCTTGAAAGATATACACTCTGTATAAAAGATGCTCGGCAGTGGGACATATAAAGGCCGATGCTTTAATATTTTATCCACGATCAGCCAAAAACGGTGTCAAACTGCATTTCTTCCATCCCTCTTCAAAGATGTACCCTAGAAATGGTTGTTGCTCGGCAGTGGGACATGTATAGATTGTTCCTTTAATCTTTTGTACATCAACAGTCGAAGACGGTGTCAAATTGCGTATCCTCCACGCCCCTTCAAAGATGTACCCTCTGTACAGAGGAGGTCTTTGCTCAGCAGAGATACATATACAGGATGTTACATAAATCTTTTACACAAGGCCAGTCCAAGACGGTGTATAGGACCTCCTCTGTAAAGAGGGTGCATCTTTGCTCGGCAGTGAGACATATATAGGCTGTTGCTTTAATCTTTTGCACACGACCAACCGAAGGCGGTGTCAAATTGCGTATCCTCCACGCCCCTTCAAAGATGTACCCTCTGTACAGAGGAGGTCTTTGCTCAGCAGAGATACATATACAGGCTGTTACATAAATCTTTTACACAAGGCCAGTCGAAGACGGTGTATAGGACCTCCTCTGTAAAGAGGGTGCATCTTTGCTCGGCAGTGAGACATATATAGGCTGTTGCTTTAATCTATTGCACACGAGCAACCGAAGGCGGTGTCAAATTGCGTCTCCTCATGCTCTATTAACAGCGTGAGTCGTAACTAACAGATCTGTTTCCCCCACACCGACTCGCGGTAGTTGACGCGTCGCGCCGGCTGTCGCCGCCGCTTTGGACGGCCGCGCCTAACAGAGGCCGCGCGCGACTCGCTGGACAAGCGGCGAGCGACCCTGTGGTACAGGCAGCGCGACGACGCGTTCGACACCTGACGGTTACGGGTTCTATCATGGTCTATTTTAAAAGACGACTTTAGACGACGACCCGAATGCCTTCTGCGCCAGAGGGTGTGGGTTTCGATCCCCACTACTGGAAAAATATTGCGTGATATTTTTTTTGTTATCACTTCGAAAATATATGTTTTCCTTCACCGCTGATCACGTGATAATAGGTTTTTACTTACAAAAGCAAAAATTTTTTTTAACAGTTATCTAGTACCCGTAGTACAAGCGTTGCTTGTTTGCTTTTTTAACGGTGGTAGAGCCACGCAGCAGCCTTGGCTGTTGCACGAATGGGCAGGCTCGTCCGGGTAAGTACCACAACCTCACAGAAGACCGGCGTAAAGTGGAAGTATGAGAAATACTTTCGCGTTTCGTCTGGTGAGTGAGGTAGCCGGAGCCCAATTTCCAAAAAGGTTGTCAACGGATCTGCAAACCCTGGGGTGTAGGAGATGTTCATGGGCGGCGGTATTCACTTAACATCAGGTGAACCGTCAGCTCGTTTGGCAACTTATCACATAAAAAAAAAAGTTTGGGACTGGAGAACGTTGTGTAAAAATGTGTCCTAAAAGTATAAAATGTAAAATATTTTAATTGACGAGCAAGACGCTCAGTTAACGGTGTAGATAGGCGCCAAAAGACCGAAGCACTGACAGCTATACGACGGTGGACCCGGGTTCCTTTAAGGTCTTGTTAAAGAGAACGAGTAAGAGGCTCAGTTGTCGCAAGAGATAGAAGACCGATGTACTGATTTACAATAAAAAAGTAGCCTATGTCCTTTCTCAGACTCTAAACTATCTGTGTACCAAATTTCATTTAAATCGGTTCAGTAGTTTTTGAGTGAAAGCGAGACAGACAGACAGAGTTACTTTCGCATTTATAATATTATTAGTATGGATTTCGATACGATTTCAAAGATCTCTTTGTTTTCCCGTAACATAAAATTTCAGTTTCTTATGAGTACCAGCGGATCATGATGGATATATGGATGAATAAAGTATGGATATACGTAAGAAATATCATTTTAAATCGAGTCAATGCAATTATTTATCTACTGAGTTACACTTTAGACACTTGAGTTTGTCAGCGTTCATTGCAATTCCTTGATACTCACCAGCTCGCACTGCACATCGTCGATTTCGTCCTCCATTATGTCCAAGTCGTCAGTGTCTTTCGCCGGTACTATGAGAAGCTTGGTTTCTGGGCAGGTCCCGGATACAGTTAACTGTGAGGACTTGGGAAATAGCAGTCTATGCGCTGTCCTGTAACAATATGTATATTTATATAATAGTCCTGTAGCTCTTGATTTTCAGGGTTCCGTACCCAAAGGGTAAAACGACCCTATTACTAAGACTCTGCTGTCTATCAGTCTGGCCGTATCTCAAAAACCGTGATATTTAGATAGTTGAAATTACGATGACGTATTTCTGTTGACGCTATAAACATAAATACTAAAATACGTAATATAAAAATATTTGAGGGTTAATTTAATACTTACCAATTATTTTATTATAGATAGTGAACATATGAATATAAATATGATTAGATTAGATTATAAGAAACTAGCGACCCGCCACAGCTTTGCACGTGTGCAATGTATTATACATATAAACCTTCCTTTTGTATCTTATATCTTATATCTCGATCCGTTGCGTAGTATTAAGATCTGTCTGTCTGTCCCTATGTATGGACAGACAGACAGCGGGACGGCTTTGTTTTATACTATGAAGTGATAGATGAATATAGATAATGATGATTAATAAATAAATGGTATACGGAACCTTTCTTGCTTGAGTCCGACTTGCACTTGGCCGAATTTTTTCGAGACTTTTTAAATATTTTCTTATCTTTTTTATCTTTTATTAAAAAAAAAACATTGTCCTTACTTTAGGATAACATTATCCTGTGTTGAAAGGACATTTTACAAACATAAATTTCACGCGGAAAAACACCCAACAACAAGCGACAACTATCTGTGGGCCACACAAATAGTTGTCCCGTGTGGGAATCGAACCCACGACCCCCGACGCCGATGCTAATACCATGGCAACTGCGCCACGAAGTCATAATTTTTAATGAAATGGGAATGATGGAGAACGGGCAAGTCAACTTCACAGAAGACCGGCACGAAGTGAAAGTGTTATGTTTCTGCGTTTCTTCTGGTGAGTGAGGTAGCCAGGGCCCGTTTTATTAAAATGCGGCAACGCACCTGCAACACTACGAGTGTTGTAAACGTCGATGGGCGGCGGTTATCACTTGACATCAGGTGAACCGCCAGTTCGCTTGCCACCTTGTACCTAACATCAATATCGCTTAGGTGACATTCCTCCCTACAGATAACGCACGCATGAGCAAATGTGCGGCCCTATCCAAACGCGGAGGGCAGTATCAAGTTTGTAAGACCTGGCTATTTCACGAGTTCTTCGATTGATGAAGCTTTAATAGTCTGCGTAGGTACTGTTAAAGCGAAAAACGATCGTGTATGAATTAATTTGAAACATTAAACAGATCCCCAACCTTGGTATATAGCAAGGCGGTTGGAACACCTCCCTCGTAGCCAAATCCTGGCAAATGCCATCGATGAGGACTATGTCTTCCATCAATTCGTTGACTACGAACACCTAAATGAAATATTTTCATCACGACATTTTTTTTTTCCAAATATAAACATTACTTTATTTATTTATCAAAGTAAAAAGATTTGTTACAAAAGCACGAGTAAAAATATTTAGTTATAAAATTTAAATAAAAGCATTGTAACTAATATCAACATAATAAATAAAAAATACATAGCAAGAAAATAAATAGTAGACAGTAACTTTTGAAGTAAAAATAATTGTGAGTTTCAACAACGAACAATGTCTGTAAAGGTTATCTGATTACTACAACGTGGCAACAAAAGATGCCGAATTGATAAAAAATCTTTAGATTTTGCCTACCTTGAATGCCTTTAGGCAAGGAACGAAAGCGTGTTCTAGCCTCATGCTGAGTTTCTCCACGGACCAGCCGTGGTATGCTGGCACGTTTGGCAGCACCATCATCGACAACTTTATGCCAATCTCGCGCCACATCGCAGCCTCAAGACTAATCAACAGAGGCTGTGTCTGATTCTAGATTGTAATATTTTTTGTGTAATGTTTTTATTATTAATGTTTATATTATTATATACAACATAAATTCTGTTTCGGTGTACTTTTTTGTTGTTTTTGGTGATAAATAAATAGACAATAGTTTGGCACTCGTTCATGGGTTTTGATATGGAGGCGGTAACCGTCTACCATCTGGTAACCGCAGTAGAACAAATGTATGCTAAACAGACGATGCAGTTTGGCAAAATTGAACGGCAAATGTGAAAGATTTGCAAAAAGGAAAAGGGTCCAGGACGAAGATATCTTGACCAGGAACACCAGAACCATTGCAGCTTGTCACCAACATTTCAAAGGATCGATGTTACCTGACTCAATAAATATAACAAAAGCATAAATACTCTCACTATACACCGGTTCTCTGTACCGCCGAAACATGACGCTAGTTCTCTTGATGCAACTACAGAAGCTACTGCGAGTTTCTACCTCTGTAAACGAGCATAGCCGTGGTAGCTAAGTGCCCGGGCCCTAGGTTTTAATTGAATATACTCGAGTCCCCGTGCCGGCACCAATTAAATCGTTAATTTTAAGTCCTTACTAATACTGATCACGTGCTCAGCGGTGAAGGAAAACATCGTGAGGAAACCTGCAAATGTTGGAAAAAATAACAAAAAAAATTAGAAGATATGTGAATGATGCGTGGTGGAATATGCCCTAGTACCCTCTGTACAGAAAAGGCCTTTGTCCAGCAGTGGAACATATATAGGCTATTACATTATTTTGAACGAACAACTTTACGAGGAACGGCTAATAAGTTCTCGGGCTGGAGTAATAAATGAAAGAAAAAGTATAGCTTTAATTTTTTTTTAGTTTTCATTATACGATAAAAAGGTACCCGCTTTTCATATCTCTTGTGAAGTGAAATAGATGTCAAAAGTGGGAAAACGAGTAATGGGTGCTAGATTAAAAGCCATTCCCGTCTATTGGTATGGGACACGTCCGCGCTCTTTGACTTAATTACCCCATAATAGGATGTGGAGCCAGGTTGAAGGCCTCTTTTATTATGGGCATCTTGATGTAGTACGCCTGGACCGCTGTGTCACAGCGCACTGTGTAACTGTACGGGCGGTTCGTGAGCACCTGGGTTGGAAATTCTGTTTAGTCTGTGTTCATACGTGATAATTTTCATATGTCGCAGGTTCGATCCCTGACAGCGTCGAAAACTTTCGACAGTTGATCTATTAAGTTCGCATTTTAATATTTATCTCGAGTGCGGATCAGCACTGATATAATGTTAATGACAGCGGCAAGTGAGCTGGCGGTTCACCCGATGTTAAGTGATAACCGCCGCCGATGGATATTTGCAACACTCGTGGAGTTGCAGATGCTCTGCCACCTTTTAGTAAAGTGTGCCCCGGCTACTTCGCTCACCAGACGAAACGCAGAAGTGACCCACTTCCACTTCACGCCGGTCTTCTGTGAGGTCGTGGTTCTTCCCCGGACGGACCTGCACCGCGCAACAGTGACCGTTGCGTGGCCCTACCACACTTCCACCTCACGCTGATATTGTGATCTCGCGCACGAGGGTTCCGTACCATTATCTATAAAAATGGAAAAAAAAACCATGTCTATTGTATTGGAGTCCCACTTATTTTTTTGTTTTTAAATTGTTGCTATAGTGGCACTAGAAAAACATCATCTGTGAAAATTTCAACTGTCTAACAAACACGAAGCATGAGATACAGCCCGGTGGCAGACGGACAGACAGACAGCATATGTTAGTTACAGGGTCCCGTGTTACCCTTTGGGTACGGAACCCTTATAAGATAACAATTGGTTCGAAAACCTCAGTATCTGGTATAAAGTTCAACTTGCTACGTCCAAACGTTCCTGAGAGAATCGCTGGTTATTATTTACCAATTTTATTACGACGTTATATTGGTTAGGCACGGAACCCCAGGCGAACGAGGTCTACCCGCACTACACCCTTTTTTATTATTCACTAGCTGCTGCCCGCGACTACGTCTGCGTAGAATAGGCTGAAGGCGTAACATTCAGACAGAAAAACAAATATACATAAAATATGTATATAAATTATAGACTATGTCTTATTCTGATGTATAAGCTATATTATTGTAAAGTTTCATTAAAATCCATTCAGTAGTATTTGCGTGAAAGAGTAACAAACATCCATACATGCAAACGTTCGCCTTTATAATATTAGTAAGGATGAACTCACTCCTAACACACCAATTGCGTTTCCAGAAACAATGTAGTCTTGGCTGGGTTCGGTAAACTTCAGGTCTGTGAGAAACTCATAGTTGGGGATGGCCTCATCGAAGTTACCCTCGGGGGGCACGTAGGAGGCTTCTAGGAGGCCCGACACCAAAATGTACAGGCCTTTGGGCTCATCACCTTTTGAAGGATTGCGATGGATTACATGAAAATGTTGCTTGGCAATGCGATGTTGACGTCACATATCAATATTTATTTATTTAAAAATGTATCGTTTACACCCCCCAACTTCAGGCTTAACAAAAGGTAAACTTAATGCTAATAATAATTCTCATCCAGCCGATCCTGGGGTATGACGCAGGTGCAAAACAAATACGCGATATAAATAAATAAAAGAAAACAAAAAAAGCAAAGGTACATTTTTTAGAAATATACGTCACAACAACATTAGAATATTAGAAAATATTAAATTAAGACAGAAAATCAGATGACTGACTCTTAGTCCAATAAACAAATAACTATTTCAAACATCTTCTTAACCTCAAAAACAGGTAGATGACCATGATTACTGAAAGAATTTATTACTTTAGATATTTATTACTTTCTGATCTGCGAAAAATCTGCATTATGCTTATGCATCAGATCTTGTTTTTATTCTTTACGTTCGCGTTTTCCCGATTCTGATGTGTATGTATAACATTTGTATTCCGATAAAAAGTTCAAAACGTTACCCAAATAAGGTTTACCTCGTGACACGAGGATGTCGTTGTAATTGTAATTTAATATTTCAGAGTTTTCTATAAAGAAGTCCGCCACCCTCTCGTTGCCCTGTAACCATGATATTGCGCGTAGTTGTGTCTGCAAGAAACAAAGTTATTTATCAGAAAAAGGAAACAGAAAATAAAAAAAATATTGTAAACCCTATTATCGGAAAATTGGGTCAGCAGCTCAGCATTATGCTGTGTTGGAAGTCAAAACCCCAGCCAGCGCTGATTTTCAGTACTGACCTTCGTGCTTTGTGATAATTCGATGCCGTACTGACCCATAAACAGGGATGTAGTATTAATAACACTGTGTTAGGTACGTAAGGAAGCTGCGAGGAAATAATTCCATGATTGTTTAATAATATACTACAAAATGCTGATGTAAGTTTCAGTTTTTATCCAATTCCAGTTGTTATCCAGTCCAGTACACCAATAACTTTCAACTTTTTGTATTTATTACGTACAATAATCACTAACTCACTGTCTTTCTCTTTCTCATTGCTTTGAGTAGATGCCCTAGATAGATTGGAGCATCCCACAGACTCAAAGAAGAACGAAAATTTAAGTGTTAATAATTTCATTAGAAATTAGAACTATGGATCGAATTCAAAACAAAAATAATTGTCGAGCCACAGAAGTCTTCAGATCGAAGAAAATTTTAGAAATAAAACAACTCGAAACAATAAATTCGCATTAATGTTAACAATGTAAAAATAGAAGTAGTAAAATAAAGTTGTCAGCTGTAAATAAAAAATCACACTTGAAACGAAAAAATAATGAAAACTACTGAACCAGTGGTGGTTTTTTGACGTTCAATGAAAGCTTAAAATAAGACTATATTGAAGATAAAGAAATTTTGACTTTGAATTTGACTTTAAAAATGAATGTAAAAGTACACGATATTTACAAAAATCACAATTTTATAAAGATGTATTTCACCTCTGGAGTGGAAGGTGCAACTAGACTTCCCTTATGGCGGCACATCTGCACTTTGTCTTGTATCGCGTTCAGCAACAATCGGTACTCCATTTCATCCAGAAAACCTACCACAAATACGAAACTATACCGCGCCCTTTAAATCTATCTTAAATTAAAGCACACGATGCATAGCATGCAACAGTGCAATAGAATATTCAAAGGCTGCCACTAGTACCCTTTAAGCGGTCTATTTATGTCTATAGACCAAAGCATCTGCATACCTTCTACACAGCCGTAAAATAGGGGAAACTATTACATAACTTTATTTACCATTATCACTATTACAGCTACGACTAGATGACTTGTGGAATGTACGGGAAATCGATGGATGCAGTTGACGCAGAATTGTACTTCACAGAAATATGTGGAGAAGGACTATGTCAAGCATAATTTCCTTGGTCTGCGAAAACTGACGATGATATAAATCAACCCGGAGAGGGTTATGGAAACATTAAATTCGATACCCTTTATGTTTTGCTCATCTCAGTTTTACTTAAAATGTAATCTAAATACTCAGAGAAAGTCCTTCTTTCTTGATCTTTATACTATGATAGTAAATAGTCGCCCTCATAATTCAGTTTTCTTTATATCTATATTCAAACGATCGATACCTTGTCTCTGTATATACATTTTCTTCCACACAACTTCTGTCCGGTATGATAAAGATTATACAACCCAATTCAGTCTGTTACTTGTTCCCAGTCTCATTTGATCACAGTACTCCCTCCACTTACCTTCTTCCTTCAGCTGCATGGTATCCAAGATCATAATGTTCAATGTGGAGGTTGTCGCCTGGCGAGTCTTCACCGTGATCGCGGTCCATGGTCTATCGCGCTGAAGTAAGCCCAGTTGACGGGTGACAGTCAGTCTGGATTAAAGTTCTAAATAAACTGATAGCTTTACTGATTGGGTTGCTTGACAGAGGAACTTCCACGAACTCGCAGATGTGTATAGAAAGTCTCCTAAAGAATAGCAACGAAACGGTTATTCTATCGGTTACGCGATGAATAAACGTGTTTTCCGCCCACTGTTTAGTTTAATTCATTGCGTCTTATTGCATTCACTGGGTAATGGGCAAGTCTATTAATCACCTACGACTAAGTGGTCAATCATCAAATGGTATTCAAGTACGCCAAATATACAATTGAGGACTGTCTAATTTGAATTACGGTCGCGAGATACAAACACAATAAATGTTTTAGATTACACCGAAAAATTGAGGTACGATCACAACAAAATCAAAGGTAAAACACCAATACATTAGAATTCACCGAAAACCTTGGTTTGGGCCATTAACGATTCAATACTCTAATAATCTTATCATCTACACGTACAAAATACTTAAATAATGTATAACATTCCTAACACTTACCTGTCCGCCTCTAACCTATTGTCGAGTGTCTCTTGAATTTGAAGATTGTCCACCAATTGAGGCAGCAAGTTGCATACCTCTTGTTCGGCTGTCACAAAACCCTAAGAGAAAGTGTTCCAATGTACATATGTCTGCGAAACAGCTAAATAATCATATTCTTCTAGTTGATCTCTTAGTAAAAACGCTATGAACGACTTAAGATAAAAAGTATTTTTATTTCGTTGTGAGAAGGCGGCAAACATGCTGGCGGTTCACCTGATGTTAAGTGATAGCCGCCGCCCATGAACTTTCGCAACACCCGTTGCGTTGCTGAGTTGCCACCTATTTATAACGGGCCCCGGCTACGTCACTGACCAGACTTAATTCAAAAGTATAACACATCCAATTCACGACGGTCTTCTGAGGTCGATGTACTTACCCGGACGAACTTGCCCATTCGTGCAAAAGAGAAGACTGTTGCATGGCCCTACCACAGTTGAGCAAAGTAAGAGCCTATATATGTCCCACTGCTGGCCACCGCTTTACTCAAGGTATTAGTATTTTTGGCCCCACAACCCCGGGCCGATGCCAATAGCTAAGCAACTGGGCCAATAAGTTTTCATATTGTTATCATTAGGAAACTGTTCCAAAGGGTGCGGTTGTACTATAATATTCGAAGAAAAATTTATACATACCCTAAAAGTCTCACCTTACCGACATCATATCCGAAAGCCAGCTGAATGTCGATCATCCTGTCAATGTAGGCCATTATCTTTGGCACCGATACCCTGTCAAGAAAATACGACATTGACAGAGATCGGGCGTGCTTTGTGATGCCACAGCGACTTTGAAATGATAAATATTTATAGTGGTGTTACCTATGCATATTCACATATACCTTGTAGTTAGGTACCCCGTTCACATCGAATCCAACCTACAGCGAAGTCCCAGTGATTGCGAAAGTTCACATGAATTGTGTGTATAAGTTATTCTCACGAAAGTGGTGACAGTTTAAATTCGGGTATCGTGGGACAATCAATCCCGTATCGATCAACTAATATCGCTCAATCGCCGTAGCGGGAGGTCGTTCCATTTAGAATAAGTTAATATTAAGTATACTTAGTATGTCTTGGCTACTAAATTTTGTAAAGGACAAAAATCGCCTTTTAAAACTCCACCTAGCGGCCGAATACGTATCTGTGGTGACAAAGCTATCCCAGGATTATTTTGAAAGCGACGATACCTGTTTGTTAAGTGATACTTTATTCTTACTGATTTTGTAAAGCGAAACTTTTTTACTTAGCCTCAAATTTTTTCGTCCATCTATCGCATGTCGCGTTACAGCCGGCCGCGGATAGGGGTTAAATGGAAGGCGTTCGGCAGAGCAACCAATGCCAATATAGCGCATCGGCTAACCGTATAGCATTTATATTAAATTTGAATTATTAATTACTTTATAATTAATATTTAACTGAAATTTTTCAGTTAAATGCCTACGTTCAGAAAATACGAAGGAGAGTAATGTTTATCTTCTGTCAAGTTCTGAGCCTTTTGTGGGATTCTAACAAATGGGTTGTCATTGATCAATGACCAAATAATATTTTTTTGAAAACAGAAAGTTTAAAAAAAAATCTCTCATATTTCCGTCAAATATAACAACTGCTTGTACCCAGGCACGTTTGCGTGTTGATGATAAAGGAGCAACGGTTAAGTACTCACGCCATCAACGAGCAAGGCAGGTCACGGTACAGGTTTTATTGCGCGATTAACGTAGTATTTTTCCAGTGTCTGGGTGTTTATATTTATTTGTTACGTATTTATTTACAAAAAAAGAAAAGCATGTTTGAATCTCGGAATAGTAAATAATAGGACAACAGCCACGAATAGCATACTACGCTTCACTTTCGATATTAGTCAGTAAGCCCTACAGAACTCTACAACTCAACCAATTGAGTTACCTACCTACCAACTGCAGCAGCGATTTTCTTATCATTCATACAAAAGAAGTACTTCTTAATTTTAAATTATAACCTTTGTTATTTCAAATCAATGATGTAATTCTTGCACCGTTTTATCAAAGAATTTTAATAACCGGGGATGCCCCGATTGAGGGTTTTTTTTTTCAATTGAGCTTACCTTGCAACGATCTTCAAAATGTATCACCTCGCCAACTTGCACAGGCGAAGGAAACGCAAAGTTCGCAGCAGCTTCGTGGCGGTGAGGACGCTAGAATTGAGGTTGGTCCATTTGTTCCACGACGTCAGTGCGTCCAGTATGTCCAACACCAAATCTGAGTGGTGAATAACAAACCAATCATACCTATTAACAGGTTCAAGAAATTTATTAAAGAAAAACTTTATGAGAAGGGCTATTATAATGTAAATGAACACATTAATTACAATACCCCGGGGAATGACTTGATTGCTCCCAAGCTATTTCTAAAAACAAAAAATATCAGTTACTTATATAATATTTATTTACAAAAAAAAAAATGACAAAAAAGAGGATACGGATAAGGTAAGTTTCTTATGTCGATGAATAAATGATTTTGACACCGCAGTATGCGCTAAACGTAGTGATTACATTCTCTATGATTATGCGCTAAAATCACCTTGGAGATATTAGTTAAAGGAAGTTCGACTATGGTAGGGCCACACACAGTTTTCGATGTTGTACGAATGGTCAGGTCCGTTCGGGGAAGTACCACGACCTCACGTAGGGCGTGGTGTTAGTTCTGCGTTTAGATGCGAATTTACTAGGAAGACCGATCGTATCTTGAATTAACTGATGTTTTTTGCTTTATCCCGAGACTATTGAAGCTTCATCTGACGTTGGGCTAGCCTTACGGGATGGCAATTCGACTAGTGGTCATGTCGATATATCGAAAGAGCGATAAGGACGGCTACAGACGATGATGATAGCAGAGTTGGAAACTTTTGTAGCATCTGTGCGGTCTGTTTAAATCAACGCAACTGGTTAATAAAATGTTATAGCATTAAAAGGAATGTGTAGCCTAATGATTCTAATGATTCTAACGCTGGATGTGAAAATACTTTATTCCGTTGGTGACAAATCGTTTAATACATGTAACGAGATATTACATAAAAACAATTTCAAATTAATTTACCTCCCGTAGCCATCACTATAATTAGAAAGTCCAATTTATTCCAGTGCGATTTGAAGTAACCGTGTATTCCTAACGCCATCATCTTTACAATCATCTCTAGGACGTAAATTGTATAGAAAAATCTGTAACGATCAAATGCGGTTATTGAACACTGCAATAAATGGTTATAATATTGCATCACTCCCTATATTATTTCCCTATATTTAAGAAGCTTGTGAAAGTATGCTGGCTGTCTCAAGACCTGTTTATTCGCTGGTAAAAAAAACAAGAAAAGCCGTTTTTCCACACAACTCTATATGGAGAGTGAAAACTTGAACTAGTTGTTTTCAAAACTAATTCCCTGACTTCACTTAATCTTCGAAATATTTGGAAGAACCGTACCAAGTTTGACAATTAATGATGCTTTGAACTTAGATAATAAAATCAATAACAATGTCAATTCTTTAATATGAACGACTCAAAGATCATGAAGCCAGAACGATAGCCTAGCGACACGAGACGGGTTTTTCATATCGAATATCGTACGTGCAAAGCCACTGGACCGTTTCTCCGTCGGTATAAGGTATAAGGCTAGCCATCGTGATCGTTTTCGAATTTTTTAGAGCACAAGTGATTATATTCTAATTTAATTTGTATTTATTGATAAATACGGAGGATGATCCTGAGCCCCATGCATTAAATGACTTCCCATACATTTGCACAGGCGTCACTCTATATAGTTGGGGCCTTATACCACGATGTTACGAGGCTGCCACTCAAGAATGTTCCTCATCATTTATCAGTTCTACAAGCCATATGGCTTAGTGGCAGTATGCCACTGGGGGAGGGCTGTATGATCATAGAAATAGCCGATCTCACAAAAATATTACTATATTCCGATTATTATAAGGTCAGTTTTTACTCGATAGAAATAAACAACAGCCATCACAAAGATTCGTTTTTACTTAACAGAAAGAAATAACAGGTATCACAACGAAACTGTTAATCAACGTTGTTTTGAAGATGTTTTGTAAGCAACTCACAAGTTCAGAGACTTGATCGCGTATGTGGCGGCGTGCGAGGGATCCCTCATGGCGACTTCGCACAGTATGATGGGCGTGTTGCAAAGTATCATCACGTATATGAACCCGTCGAACCACGCGTTGCAGACCAGCCGGTAGGCGAGCCGGCGCCAGCGGTTGTGCGGCATTTGGACCGTTGCCGCTTCGGGCGTCATCATCTTGACCAGCTTGCGGCGTAGCCACACCGCGTGCGCCTATGAAGGGATTCCGTGGACAAAGAGCCGACTACTTGTCTAGCGACTAAAGTAGTCTCTAACGAATTCAGATAGTGAAAGACCTGACTGTTAGTCTGGCGGCTATTGAACTAGTCTAAGTAGGTATTGACGCAGTATCTGAAGTATGTGGAGCAGTAAAACATTTCAATGGTATATCTCCTTTCACTTTTTTGGAACGAAGCTCTTTATCGCGACTTAAGTAAGGTTTGAGTTGGGAGAAATTGTCACGTAAGGAAATAAGGGTATAACCTCTCGTTTTGACCATCTTTTTTATATATGTACACTTATTAAAAATGAAGTCATGTATAAAAAAGTGAGTAAATATGTATACATTAAAGCGCCTTCAAATATTTTATGTTATCTTCTTTACTATATAAAAAAGAACTGCAGATTTTTGTATGCTGTGACTCAAGTGGGTTTGTGTATGCAAGTGATTCAAGCGGAAGGTTTATATGTATACATAGTATACATGCATATTATAGTAGAGAAAAGACGTGATATTCAATATCTACATTGCACGCGTGCGAAGCAGGGGTGGGTCGCTAGTTTGTAATAACAATACATTAAAAATTGAAGTAATACACATATGATTCCACCTTGGGTTTCCACAATGTGCCCAACATTTCCAAATTGACTCGACCGTCGTCAGAGTCGGCGGCCACCTCGACCGCTTGTACCAGGGTCCTGACTCCATCTTTACTCAGTTTCCCGTGTTCGTACTGCCGCCAGTAGGATATTTTCATCGCTTTGAGGACGCGCTGATTGGCTTCCCTGGCGAACATACCTTATTAAAATTACGATCGCGCTATACATAAGCACCGCATAGGTAGAGGTTTTTTCAAGTAAGGAAAAGCAGCATACGAAAGGCGATATAAGTAGCATCAGAGCTCAAACAAATGTCATGATTATGCTCTAACTGCAGTGTATATTATTAAAACGTCCCGAGGATTTAAATTGTGGGCCTTCCATCTCTTTTTTGTCTCCTGATACAAGTAATCTGAGGACTTGTACTTACAAGAAACACAGTGTGTTTCTTAGTCCTGATATAACACATGTAAAGATCCAGTGAAAAAGTAAATTATCAACTAGTCCGATTTTTAAGATAAGCCCTCCCCAAGCAGTACATCAGACTATGTCGTACTGGTTTCACTAGATTAGAAATGAAGTCCATTACTTAATTTATATTTTCATCCTAACGAATATCTCAATATCAAAGGGTTGATAGACAGGCGACCGCGTCGGATGGGTTGGATGGAAAATATCTCGAAGGAGAGTGTTTCAATAGTTTTCTTTTATATTGCAGAGGTGTAGCTTTCCTCATTTCCTTACATTTTCCTTCCACTCAAAACAATTTGTAAAGAAGCAATTGAATTCTGAATGGATAAATATAACGACACACCGACATTTCAAATACGGTTTCTATGTTCTCTCTATCTACAGATTTGGTTGCTGTAGATAGAATTATGACGTAAGTATTATGGAGCTAATATCAAATACCTATCGCTGGTAACCAAATCTGCAGATAGATAGAGTGTAGAAACCGGCCGTAACACAGTCCAAAATACCTCAACATCTCGGCGTATTCCTTCTTCGTTGGCTCATTGGGTATTTCCCGCTCGCAGTCGGGACAGGTCGTGTAATGGTAGCCCATGTAAGTGTCGTCCTCAGAGTCGTCGTCGCGCTTCGACATTTGGATTTGGTACGGGTGTTTGATTGTGGTACCTCGGTTATAGCAATTTATTCTATTAGTAACTCACGGATTTTTTTCTTTACATGTCTCCGTGGCGTAGTGGCCGAGATACTGGCATTGGCACCGAGGGTCGTGAGTTCGATTCCCACGCGAGACAAGTATTTGTGTGGCCCACTGATGGCGTGGGGATGGGGATAGCGATGGGATCTTGGCGTTTGTCGAAGTTAAATTTATATATTAAAAAGCAAGATAATGCTCTCCTACAGTGGTTTGTCATAACCAAAACGGTTGCATTTCTCCAAAGGACCCCTGACTTTTACCAGTCACCTGTGACTCGATGGTGATGCAAATGCACTTTAAAGGTATTGACTTCGGCGCCAGGGTAGTAGTTTGATTCCCACAAGGGGCAAGTATTTGTGTGACTTATAGATAATCGATCCCGATCTGAATATTTGTTCCAAAAGGAGGGTTCCAAAGGAGGGACGTCAGGCAAGCGGACAGCTTTCTAAAAAACCCAGGCAATAACACTAGCTACATAATACGCATGTGTACCGACCCCACATAAGTGAGAACAGCAGTGGGATGATGACGATGACTATTAATCAAACATCAGTAAATAGTAGACGTCTGTCGATTTTCGGGCGTACCGAAATTCGATTATTTTAATGGAGACATATTAAATGAAACTAGGTGCATGGTCACGGAACAGTCCCGTGACAATGAACGCTGGAAAGGGTTCGAAACGTCGGGAATTTAAAATCAAAATTAAAACGCGATAAGATCCGTGAACTAGTTTTTTTAATGTGAAAAGTTGTTTGTTGCCAAGCGAGCAGACGGTTCACCTGATGTTAAGTGAATACCGCCACCCATGGACATCTGCTACACCCGAGGGTTCCAGATGCGTTGACAACCTTGTGCTCCGGCCACCTCACTCACCAGACGAAACGCGAAAGTTCCACTTCACGCCGGTCTTCTGTGAGGTCGTCGTGCTTAGCCGGACGAGCCTGCCCATTCGTGCAACAGCCGAGGCTGCCGCGTGGCCCTACCGCCGTGAGTTTCATTTAATATGTATAATATTCGCGTAAAATCAAAAATTGAATGGACACCTGCTTCCACAAGGTCCCAATTGGCGTCGGCCAGGAACTTGTCCATCTTCAGCATGGAAATGCACCGGTCGCGCGTCAACATGATGCGTTTAACGCAGTTCGTCATGTTGGCCTTCTTCGCGAGAGATATGTCAGCGAGACCCAGCATCTTGAGAACTTTTCCCAACGTCGTGGCGTTAATAAGCAGGGATAAAAGCACCAGTCCCGCCGCCTGCACTATAAATATCTACAAAGTAAGAAGAGTTGCCTATAATATTAATGAAATTATAAACGAGTCTACTATTTAACGAAGAATTTATCAAAAGCCGTCGTATGGCCACCGCATGTTGTTTTAGATGCAAAAGGTTGTATATTATACCTGCACACATCGATGACATTTTGTTATATTGGTCAATTTTACCTTAACGCTCAAACTTTATCATAACTATTCCATAACTAATTGGGACTAATACACGCTCCATAAGAGCGTTTTTTTCTATGTTTATGAGCATTTTTTATATGCAAGCGAAAGCGAAAATCGTGCACCAGCTACGTTGTTCTCCCGAGTCCGCGAATCGTATGCGCGGACCTCTTCCGCCGAAGCTGTCAAAGCCGCCGGGATAACAGCAAACTACGCGACACAAAAAATAGGCAAGCCAGCAATCGTGTATAGTACATGTGTCTATAATACCTATATTTACAATAGCATATACCTCAAACCCTTCTCACTGATCATTGTATCCTCAATAACATGGTTGGCTGAAAGAAATCGCTTCTACCTTCTAAGCGATAAGGCCGCCATTTGTACTTTTATGTAATTGTTTGTAACTTTTGTAATTTTATCTGGTGTACAATAAAGCGTATTTCATTCATTAATTCATTGCATACAAGCTGTTCACCTAATGTTAAATGATTATCGCTGCCCATGGACATACCTGAGGATCGCTTCAGATGCAACGATTAAAACCAGTGCGCCCCGGTGACCACTCGCACAGACGAAACACAAAAGTAAAATACTTATAACTTTGTGTCGTCGTTTAACTTCCCCAGACTGCCCATACGAGCTAAAACAGCTGCCGCATGCCCCTATCACAAATGTGCTAAGAAAAACACGTGATTGTGAATTGCACACGAATCAGACTCACCTCGCCAGCGTCGGCCACCCCCTGCGTTTGCAGCACCACCAGCGCCAGGAACAGCGACAGGGGCCCCCTCAGCCCGCCCCACACGAGAGCCATCGAGTGCTGCCACGACATCCCGTACCCAACGTGCCTAAGGATCGGGGTCATCGCCGAATACACCATCAGCCTCGAGCAGAACACCGTGGTGTACGTCACGAAGACCAGCGAGAGCTGCCGAGCGCTCATAATGTAGCTGACCCGGTCAAAGATGACGATGCCGACCATTGTGAAGACCAAAGTGTTCGCCGCGTGCGATAATATGCCCCAGAAGTGGGACACCACTTGCTCCACGTCGCCGGCGATGGTCGACTTCCTGCCGCTGACTGTGACGCCCGCTATGACCGTGCCCAGTAAGCCAGACACGTACAGGAACTTCTCGCCGACGTAATACGTCAAGTAGGCGCCAGCGAAGGTAACGGTCACGGCGCACAACAAGTCGTTGTACGTCACCGAGAGCAGGGCGGCGCTAAGCCTCCCCATCACCATCCCCAGAATGATTCCGCCACCAGCGAACTTCAGCAGGAGAAGCGCTACCTGCGACGCATCCGTCACAGCCAGGGCCAGGTATCCAAAGACAGCTGTGAATTCTATCATAGCGGTCGCGTCCCCTATCAAGCCCTCTCCGAGCAGCAAAACGCTTATATACTTACCCCTGGACATCTCCTTCAGCTGTTTTACGACCTCCGTCGGATAGATGGGTGCGCACACCACGCCGAACAGAACGGCAGTGGGGAAATTCCAGGAGGGCTCTATCAGGAAATATGCCATGACTCCTAGCATAAAAGAAGACAGCAGGGTGCCTAAGGCGCCGACGAGCAAAATCTGGGGAAAACTCTTCCAGAAGGAGTGGGAGTCCACGGCGTAAGAGGTGCTGAAGATCAGCGCGGGGAGAAAACAGAGCAGAATGACGTCTATGTCCATATAACAGGTCTCGACGAAGGGTTTGAAGGACGGATAGCGATTTGCGCAGAACCCCGCTACTGCGCCAAGTGAGAACATGATCACCCTATAAGGGAGGCAGAAATTGGTCCACAGCAGTATCGCCCTGATCACGACACCGACCAACAGCGTCGTGAATATAAAAAGGAACGCCAAGGAGGTAGGATAAGCAAGGGTCGGGCGAGCGGGATCGTCAAACGCTATCGTGTCACTTCCATTCCTTAGCAAATAAGTGAAGTTCTTCAGACTTTCGCATCCGATTAGTGTAAAATGTTGGAGAAAAACTAACTTGAATATAAAAGGAACCGTCATAATTAAACAATGACTTAAAATCATAGCCTCATTGATAATACAATGGATAGATAATACATAAATTAATTTACTGACCATTATGAACATTTCATAACAACAACATATTGTATTAGTAAATTCATGTTTACATTTTGATATAATTTTTAATATGTCAAACTATTTAAAATGATAAAACACTTTATGCAGTTAAAAATTTATTAATTTACTATTATTTAGTTGCACCAACAAAGTGAACTTGAACACATAATCACACAAATCATACAATAAATATATCTTACAAGTTAATAATGCATGTGTAATAGAATACCAATAAGCCCACATGATAAAATGCTCCAAAATATTATTAAATTCATGGTTCACTTCATGGTTTTAAACAAGAATGGAAATAAATTTTAACATCACAAATTCTTTGGAAAAAGCAACCTGACACTATTAACTTTATTAGCAGGTTTATAGGGAGAGCTCTTTTGAGGTGTTTTCCTTGGTGATCTTCTTGGAGACATATTTTTTTTGTTCTCTAACTCTTTCAATTCCAAGTGTTCCAACTCTTCCAATTCCTTGTATGCTCCTTCAAGCATGCGCTTTTTCCAATCTTCATATGGCTCCAATTGGGGCTCAGCCGGTTCTTCTTTACAGCACATATCAACTTCCATTTTCTCACTGTCAACTGAAATTATGTATGTTCAATTAAGTATGAAATATAGTAATATTATTATGGGTTTTTGTTTTTCAATTTAATCCAGTCATAAATAACAGATCTTAATATTCAATCCCACTATATTATCTAACCTTGAAATATATATATTTATTCTACTACTATATCTTCTAGAAATGGTCAAAGACAAAAAGAAAATAAACCTAAATAATGTTGGATCATAGAGAAAATCAATAAACTTGTAGTATTGGATACTGTGATATTATTTTACTACCACATTAGTTGACAATTTCTAAACCAGTGAAAGATATGAAAAGAATAATATTACACATAGTCCCATATCACACAAGTAAAAGTAAAGCACCACATACCATTTTCCACATGTACTTTTGCAGGGCGACCCCTTTTCTTTTTTACAGTAGCAAAGTTTTCATCAACAAATTTACACCATTCAGCATTCAATTTCGCCCACTGTCCTGGTTTCAAATGAGATTTCTCAATGAGTTTGGACTTAGATACTTTTTCTTTGTTAATCCTATAACCAAAATTCAATATCATTATTTAATGAACTATAATAATTATCCATCTAAACATAGTTTAATTAATAATGAACTTTTTACCTGCATGCATGAAACACAGCCATACATATGTACTGTGGCGAGTTTAAATCCACATTCTAAAAATAAAAACATTTGATCTTAAATAAAAACTAATTGGCTAAAATTATTCATAGTTCTATTGTTGTAATTTTTCACATAACTATTAATCAGAATTAGGTTCAAAAAGATATATGGGGCATCTCAACTTAATATTATTTATTCTCTACATTAATATAGAAGAATTTACATATGAATCCATGCTTTCTTTGCTTCTTATATATGCTGTTTAGTTCATGTTTTCTGTCACTGCTTGGTGTGTGGTAAAGATAGCATAATTAAATTATATATTATGTAAATTAAATATTGTGAAAAATAAAAAGCTCTCATTACTTTTATGAATACTGCGATAAGTTGTTTAAGACATACTTTTGGACAGTATATTATTCTGTACTAAAAAAAATATAACTATCATCAATAAGTACCTCATACGATAGTATAAGCAGCTATTATATAAATATTATATAGAATATGAAAGGAATGGACTAGTACAATAAAAATGTAAACATTTATACCATTTTTGCCTTCTTCTTATATTCCTCAAGGATTTCTTCAGCTAATGCCTGTACTTTTGTGATCTGTAATGTCAAGCATAAAGCTGCGATTGTTAACTTATCACTGGTTATTTCAAGTAGATTTTCAACTATTTTTCTTGTATTTATGTAAGTAGGCTGTTTTAGACCTGAGTATTTAATTGCAGTTTTCTGAAATATATAAAAATAAGTACATAACACAGATTTTTGAATTTTGTTTTTTTAGCTACTTTAAAAGTAGGTACTTCTCTCTAAACATAAACAGCTATTATCAATACTAGAATACCTTTTATAGGTCCCAGCCTACATTTAGAGCAAAAGAGTAGGAGAAACTTATACATGGTTGCAAGGTAACCAATCACATGGGCTTTTGAGGACAATAATCACTGCTATACGTCTTCAACACTCCGTTGAAACCTAAAAAATCAACCACTGTGCAGTCCAATGCATTTTTCAAGATGCTTGCTAAGACCTAAAACTTACAGTGCAGAGTAACAAGCATCTGATAAACCTCCATTAATACACACATTCATAAAGAAACAAATTTGCATTACAGCTACCTAAATCTAAATTATAAAACAGTATTTTGTGTAGAAGGGGTTGGGTAGAAGTCCCATTGCAACAACCTAGAAAAATCTATTGTAGTCTTCCCTTCAAAAATATTCCCCTTTTACTGTAGGGTAACATTATCCTGTGATGTAATGATGTTTTAAATATATAAAATTCATGTGGACAAAAACCCAGATTCAAAATAACTATATGTGTGTCACAAGAACTAGTTCTCATATGGAGATTGAACCCACAACCTCCGTCACCAAAGCACAACAGTACATAGAATATCATATAGACAATAAATAACAAACCATGTCGAAATCTACACCACCATTCATATTTGCTGCCAAGTCTAAACATATTACTAATTTACTGGTATCAGTTATGTTACTGCCTGCTATTGACTTAGTTTGAAGTAACCGTTCCAACTCAGCTGCTTTGCTGAAATAAAATGCATTAAAAAGTCACTAGCCTATCAATATATAATAAATAAGTATATTAAATTATTATTTCATGTGCTTCAAAATCTCTTTATAAAACTTATAAATATGTGTAGAAAAACTACAGCAAACAATTACAAATACAGTTATTGTTGAAATAATAAAATAACGGAATACTTTGATTAAGCTGAATAATATATTCAGTCAAAAAGTTTCTTAAAGTTTTATTTAATTACCTCAAGACTTTTTCTTCATCTACAAGTCCTAATTTTGAGGATAGTAGACGAAGTGTTTTATTGTTTGTGGACATTGTTCCTAAGTTTCTAACTTATATAAAAAACACAAGAACAATTGATCTCTTTAAGTTAAAACGGAAAGAATTATTAAAACATCAGTTCCGCGCCATATTTTGTGTTGACATTGACACCAGAATTCAGATTTTATAAAAAAAAAATACTCTTTGGTAGGGATGCCGATAAAATATCGAAATATCGTTTTTTTTTTAAATATATCGATATTTTGGGCCGATATATTCCGATCCGATAATCGATATAAAAAATTGAATATCGAAATCTTATCAAAAACGATATTTTTATTCAAACTGATTCAAAGCCGTAAAATGATAAAAAAATGAACGGGTAACTATAACTGTTGTCTATGATTAGTAATGAGTTGCATTTTGTACTATAATTATGGTATTTATACTACAATTTCATGCTTCGCACTTAATACTATCCATATCTAAGGTACAACTTGGTATAGAGGTGTCACAAATCATTAATATTGAACTACATGTTATGGTCATTTATAAATAGCATGCAAAATAGCATCAACTAAAGTTACTTTAATTTAACATATAAATTAAGTGAATAAAAATTTATTTAAAATCAAATTCTCAATATTTTGATGTCACATAATATATCGAGTTTTCATTAAACAATTATTTGACGTCACAAAAATTATTATCATTTAACCGCATGAGTAACTTTTTTAAATGTCATTTAGCATTTTCATGTCAATCCAACAAACAATTACAAAATTTTGCTGATCTAGGCCTGAAGACAATTTTCTGCGGGTTTCTTTTTGACCCATTATTAACTTCGTTTTAAACTATTCTTTATGTTTCTTTACAAAGTTACATGTTTTTTGATTCGATTGAGGGTTTAAGAAATTGAGTTATCTTACTAAATAAGCTGTTGGCTTTTTTTTCTTGATAAATAATATATAGAAATTTAGATTTATAAAAGAAATTTGATTAAAATTAATGTTTCAATAAAATTTCTCATTAAAATAATGTGGATATGGTATAAAAATTACTATTACTTATTATTAAATCAGACTGAACTAAATACATTATTTTTTTAAAACCGATATATCGATATTTTTTTTCGATATATCGAGGCTGATATTTTTTGACTTTCGGCATCCCTACTATTTGGTTGACACTGATAGTCTAACGCCCGGTTTCTGAAACACTGATCATCGTAGATGTCAACTAATCAGCTGTCAAATGGTTTTCAAATTTCATTTTAGTTGCCAAAAGGATGGTTAAACTCTTTGGATTGACCGTTCTGATCATTAGAACATCATTTTGGTGAAGCTGATTAGTTTACATCTACGATGATCAGTGTTTCAGAAACCGGGGGTAACTGTTCATTGTTGACAGTTGAGTTGAAAGTTTAATTAAATCTATGACCCAGGGTTAGGTTTGGGTGAGGTAAAAAGTATTTAACAAGAAATTATAGTACGTTATTATTTTTATAATTAAAGCACAAAAAATAATTAGCAGAAGATTGTTATCAGTTTGAATTTTGAATAAAAATGGAACGGCCGTACCCAAAAAATAATAAATTAATCGTACTATTAGATAACCATGAACACTAATACTTAGTACATTGAGTACAATATACAAAGATAGCATTATAAAGTGAATAGAACCCGAAGAACTTCTGTAATGTTGATTGGCAGTGAATGGTATAATATTGGTCATTTATGTAAAGTCATGAAATTATGGACAGTACATAGTGCGAAGCATGAAATTATTGTACAAATACTGTATTTATAGTACAAAATTCCACCCTGCTATGACCTGAAACTTTAACTTTAATCAATATTTCCTTATTGACTATAATTCATTTTAATATAATTATTATGTACTTAGTTTTTGTAGTTTGTACAGATGTACAACTTTAAGACAATATTTTCAATTAAATTTTTTGAACAGAAAATAATCTAGTGATATATATTGTTATAATAAATTATGTGCTCATTAATACAATATGTTAAAATACTGATATTTGTTATTAAAAGGAATAAGTACAAATTAATGTTGAATTAAATTCCTTACATAAACTGCACAGATAAAATATTTGTGTTTAAAAAGTAAACAGTTATAATATTAATACTTGATTATTTTACCATTATTTTTTATGAATCGCAGTTTATTTGTTCTTCATAAGAAACCCCGCAACATTTAAAATATAAACGAATAAGTAAAGTTTTAAGTTTCAACATTTTAAGAGTTAACTTCACTGTTTGGAGAACATCAAAACTCCTTATTTAGTATCATCTTCAATGCAAATATAATTTACTTGCTTGCTTTTTCATTGGTATTTAACAAACAACAAGTAATATCTTAAATTTACATTCGACGACTCTGATTACATCAGTTTGTTTCTTCTCGATTGCAGCTGACCACGCCCCTTTATCTCGATTTACTGAACTCACTACCTAACTAGAAACACCTTTCTGTAATATCACAGCAGGCGACATGTTGATTTTTTTCTGTATAGGTTCTGTGAAGCCGATACGGATCGCTGTCATTGCTACAAAAATGTCTTTGTAGTTATCAGGGTGTAGGTCATTTAATTGTAGTCTTATTAACTAATACGTGCTAATTTTCGTATATTAAACGTTTAAAAAAGAGAAAGAAGAGGATCTGCTCCACCCGAATCAGGGGTGTGTATGAAGTGATGTTCGACCGATATAGATTTGTATCAAAATAATCTGAAGCTATTTATAAATATTATTTTCTTAGCTTTTACTTATGTTCAAAAGTTAATAGTAGCGTCTGGTCTAAAATTAATCCGTGAAAGTTTATAAATATTACAGTTTTCTATGGTGGACTTGAGAGATTAGTCGGGTCATTATTTCTGAAGGTTGCCATTTTTACGCTGAATATATCCGTGTGTGATGATTTTGGGCGTGATCGCAGCGCGCCGAGGTGTATTATGCATGGCACGCTAGGAATTATTGCCTTGTGTTCCAAGTGTCAGTGATATTGCAATCCCATAAGCCCGTGAAGTCTCGTAAATTTGTAGTGAGTTATACGGTGGTGTGTGGTGGTTTCAGGTAGAGATGCGAGTAGTGGTGTCGTTACGTTCGAGATAATATCAGTGCAGTTGCGGTTGTGAGGACAGTGATGATGCGGGGTCAGTGAGGCAGTAGCGCGACACCACGGCTTCCTCAGTGGCGGGTGGCGCGCGGGGAGCCGAGTCTCCTTCGCAGGCCAACCAGGACACCGTGGACAACGCCACACCCACCTGCTGGTAAGTGCACCATGATAACATTCATATTTTTATTTACTTAAAACAAGTCTTATTTCTATGGTAATACAAGTTTAATATAGTTATGGCTATAGAATGTAAAAACACTTAACCCTTTAGTAGTGAAAAAGTAAGGCCATGTATTTGGTCAATTCCATTTATTTTAAAAGTGTGTAGTTCTCTCTTCTAATCATAATTGAAATCTTCATATGGAGCATTAAATTTACTGGTCTCAATTCTCAATAACTGAAATAAGGCTTAACTTTATTGATAGTTAACTCATAATTTACCATATGTATACATGTTTATGTATAAGTATAATGTCTTAAATAATATTTGCTTTGTGGTCTATTTTACACAAATTATAATCTCTTATAAGGTCAATTTCCATCAAAATTTTATTATTAGAGCAGACTAGCAAAAGTAGAGCTATGATCACTTGTACCAACATAGTGCAACATAACTTTTTTACCACCATTTTTATAAATTAAAATTTCTTTAGGTTAATCATACACTAGGCAAATGAAAAAGTTAAAGGATTTTTTGGACAACTTAATAAATCTTATAGTTGCAATCATGTAAATGATTCCATAATATGTAGAGAGAAAGTTAAGGTTATAGAAGGAACATGCTAGATTTGTCATTTACCAATTATTAATGCACATTTTTAGAACTGATAAAAGTTCTAAAGATGTGCATTCATCCTGAGTAAATCCTTCTAGACATTACACAATGTCATGAATGTTTTAGAATAAGCATATTTTTAATTTTAATGGCAATTCTTTTGTGAATTAATTATGTTAAATAGCTGAATCCAAAACTTTAACTGGCCTTGTTACTTTATCTTTGTTTACACACCATTCAGAAGAGCCAATTATGTATTTAAATGAATGGTTATTTTTAGCACTTTATGTTTAACATTCTATACATAGGCTTGCTGATTTACAAGGCACATTCACTTGGCAACAAGGCTTAAGGAGTAAAATGTATTATGTGCATAGAATTATATCTACAATGTTACATGCTGACACTGTTGTTTTGATTTTTGCAATAACTAAGTTAGGAGTGCATAATGTCCTAACAAATTTTAAGTGCTGATGATTCTTTTCTTCTTTTTTCATTTCATTCATTTTTTTTTAATTGATGATTAACTATTTCTAGTAGTTGCAATAATTTAGATATACTATACAATATATTTCAATGAATTATTACTAAATTTTAATTAAACAGGGTGTGAACAGAGTGGTAAACTAAATTAACTATAAATTAAATATAATTTTAATGAAAATTATGATATTTCCCAAGGTGTGTCAGATATGTGCAAATGATACATTATTACCCATTGAAATTGTAAATCTATATAAGAGATTGCCACCGATAATTGACTCATCACGATTTCTCTGGAACCATAAGGCATAGAGACTTGAAATTTGGTAGGAATATTCCTTTCGCCGAGTAGAGGTCAGCTAAGAATGGATTTTACCAAATTCCACAAAACAAGATTTGATGGATCAGCTAGTATGTATACAGCATGTTGTTGCCACAGCGACAATAAATGAACACACATATAGAGGATAACTTTTTAAAATTGTATTAAACATTTACATTCTTTAAACATTAATAGTTACTGAGTTATTAAATATTCTAAAACAAACAATTTTAGAACACCCTTATGTATAAAAGTGTAACGTTAAGTTCATCAGTAAAGGTCACAAATTATATGAATGGATTTAAAAGAGACAAAACATACTGTTAGAAGGAGAGGCTTGTAATGCGACGCTGTGGCGCGAGTTGTATAGGTGTTACAAATTTTGTTTCTTTTTTACTTAACTAGCTTGTTTGAAAAATATTTTTTTTTAATTATGGATTTTGTTTTACCTTAATATTTTTTTATGATTATTGACAAGTAGCGTTAGACGTGTGTTCATTTATTGTCGCGATGGTACCGACACGCTGTATATAATGCCATTTTGACACATATAATCTTTGTTCATGAACATGAATATGATAGGAACATACTTTGAAATATGAACTTTAAAAGAGATTTATTACAGCATTTCAATACAAAACATTTTTATATGATTTTGTATTTGTGGGTGAATGGACTGGATTATGAAGATTTGAATTGAATCTTAAACAAATGTAAATTTTTAAAGTATACAAATTTTTATATTTTTATTTATTCTCTGCACTTAAGATGAAATTTTATGATTCAGACAAGTAAAATGTGTTTAGTTGTGAGTTTTACATACTATATTTGACATAATACACAATAACATTTTTCTTTGCCAATAATGCAATAAAAATTAGGAAGTGGAATGTAGTCTTATTTCTACTATGTAAGATTTAAACAACATTCACATGGGCAAAACATGAATTATAGTTTAAATGAAGCTTCAACAGGTGATTGTGTAATTATATGTTCATTTAACGCATATATATCTAAATAGAATGAACATAGTTGGAACTTACTTAAAAGAATATCATAATATTTAAGGACTATTTCCAAATAAACAAGTCATCTATTATACTTAAAGTTAAGCTTCAACAGGTGGTTGTGTAATTTAATGTTAGGATTTATTTAACTTGTATATTGAATATATTCATAGTTGGAGATTCCATTATGAAATTTCCACTTTCTTGAAGTTCTGTGTGCTCAAATGTATATTAATTAGTTTATAACTTTTTTCTTCACATTGACCTTAAAGGTGTGGCACAGATACATAATACAGTATATTTTTCAACTTATTAGTTTAATGTTCAGTAATGTCTAGAAAAATTAATAATGAAGGAAAAAAAATTTAAATATTAAATCTACAATTCTTGTATATTTATAATAATAATAAATAAATACTTTAGGACACATTTTTACACAACATTCTCTAGTCCCAAACTAAGCAAAGCTTGTACTATGGGTACTAGAAAACTGATAAACATACTTAAACATACTTTTCTTTTGTAAATAAATACATATTATACATATATTAACACCCAGACACTAAAAATTATATGTTTATCACACAATATTTATCCAGTAGTGGGGATCGAACCCACACCCTCTGGCGCAGGAGGCAGGTACACTACCCTCAACGCCATTCGGGTTCATCAATTTTCAGCCACAATATCGATACTTTTTTTAAATAATCTTATATTTTTATGTCCAATATGTCATAATGTGTGTGACATAAATTATAAGCCTAAAAATATGCTTATTATTTATGTCAGGAGAGCATACCATGCAGTAACAAATCAATATGAACATTATTGGATAGATTATAAAATTACATTTATGTGACACCTACTTTTAGTCATTTGAATTTCATTTGTTTTTATTCAATCATAAACATCCACTTTAACCCATTCTGAACTATTCAAATTAATGAAGGCAATTTAAAAATATGCATTTTACAGACTTTTTAGGGTAGAAATGGTGTTCACAGTTTATTGTTTCATAATGAGACCATAGTACATTGATAACTCTATTGTACTGAAAACTTTCTTTTTACTTAAACTATTTATTTATTTGGTTACAATTTACTTTTGCTTTTCGTTTGTATATAAAAAAACCGGCCAATTGCGAGTCTAATTCGCCAACAAAGGGTGTTACCAAATACCATTATCTATAAAAATGCCAAAAATTCGTGTCTGCTGTATGGGAGCCCCACTTAAATATTTTATATTTGTTATTATAGCGGCAATAGAAATACCTACATCATCTGTGAAAATTTCAACTGTCACTAAAAATAGGATCCTCCACACCACAAACCAAATGTTTGTTTTTGGTATATAATTTAACCAGTCTTAATTTATCGTTTAACCGATTTGCGAGTACATCAAATTGTTCCCGCCTGCAGTGGGGCCTAGCAAATTGCAACGCGTGCTGACCGAGCCTCGCCACTACAATCAGAGTTATTATTCCAATTACGCGTAACAATTACCGAATATCCGGCATCGTCCTAAAGGATGGGAATGTCAAATGGTTGTATCTGTAACTTGCTTTAATGCTGCCCATAATAAAAATGCTAAATAATTACAATCGATTTTCTCAGGATCGGGTGGACCTAGCAACTTGAAATTTATACCAGATACTAAGGCTTATAATCTCTTATTAAGTGTATATAAAAATAAGGACATTTATATCATTTTCGCGAAAACATTCAAGTACCAAAATTTATCTTGATTTTCAACTTTTTTATTTTTCGTAGTTTTCCTTTACTTGTGCCGTAAGACATTGCTTTTAACCTTGCAAAATTGACAATCCTGAGTCAACCAGAAGTACCCTATAGGTTTTGGGTCGAAAACCTGTATAGTAGTTCACGTTGACGGACAAGAGAGTGATGTTATAAGATTTACTTTTTTACCTTGTAAGGTACGGAACCCTAAAAATAAATACACTTTATTAAATTAACTATCACGTCTATCACTAGTGTTCACTAGTTTTAGTTTTACTAAACGACACTAATGCGCAACAGGTGTGGAGTCTATCCTTGTTAACGGAGCGAGGATATATGACGAAGTGTCATTGCACTCCCACTGAGTTTCGAAGCCGGAAATTAGCATTGCTAATCGACGTGATCTTCCACTAGTTCACCACTGTCTTACGTGCCCTATATATACTTTAATTGAAAAATAATATGGTTCCAAGTTCAACACGGTCTCAAGACTATGGTTGCAGGTGGTTCAGGATCGTGGTTAGTGGTAGACTGTGGGGGGAGGCCTATGTTCAGCAGTGGACTCGACAGGCTGAAATGATGATAACGATGAAGTACGAAATATGACAACCTCTCGCTTTTGTTTGTTTGTCATGAAAATTGGATAGCATTTGTCTTCGCAACTTGAAAGTCTAGACGTTAGTATAATGATGAAAATTCATTTAAGTTTCAATCAATTACATCTATGGCCACTCTACTCTTACCTCATACTACTTATTTTTCTTTTATATGTGATGGTGGCGTGCGAGCCGGCAGTGAAAAGTGATAACCGCCGCCAACGGACATTTGCAA